TTTAATAAATTTTATCTTTTTAAGTTAATAAAGTTTGCAAGACGAAATAAGGTGGTGACGTCGTGCGTATATTCGTCCTCAAACAATTATTAAAAAAAAATTTCAAATTTTCATGGATACTTAAGGACAAAATTTGAAAAGGACACTTTCCATAGCGATTCGCCCTTATGCACCAAAAAATGTATTATGTTATCTTACATTGCACTGAATTTTTTAAATAGTTTTTTGAAATAATAATTTTTTTAAATTTCCTTTAAAAAAGAAATCCACACGTCAGAGAGAAAAACAAAGTACGCAGTTTTACAATAATTTAACCCATTGTTTCGCGAATATATTCATTTTTTGTGCGTGTAAAATTTACTGTCGCACGGTGTAATTGACTTAAAAGCAAAATTTAGTGGATAATATTGGAGGTAAATAAAAGTATTTGAAAGGTGGTTAAAACTTGAGTATACATTACCAATTACAAACCAAATTTTAGTCTATTTGGTATTTTTTTTTATAATTGTAATTTGTTGTAATTCTTTTCAAGCCTGTTCTTTTGCAAGAAAATTAAGCTACTAACGATGCAAATGGATTGTGAATGGTCAAATGAAAATGTGCAATATTTTTTTTTTTGTATGGAGTAGAAGCCAAAACATGCATGACCGTACTTCTACATCCTAGTACATGGCGTATGAGTAACATTTTCCCTGTTATAGGTTGATTTATTTTTCATTCTCAATGAAAATATACCTGATTTGGGAAAAAAACGTACAGCTCCCTATTTACGGCCTAAAATCTATTTCACGTGTCTCGTCTTTTTTTGTGTGTGTCATTTTAGCGTCCGTACAGTGTTATTAAACATTAAATTAACAAAAGAAAAATATCCGTCAACATCTTTTGCTTCTATTATTTTTTTACCATTGTAATTTAACCATGGCAATATGTTACTTCAAACAATAAATTTTCCCTTCGCTTCCACAACTTAGTCTTCGCTCCCGTATGACAGATGCTAAATACAAAACACAGATTCACATACATATGTACATACATACTTGCATAGTATGAAGCCATATAGCCACCCCGGCATCACTTTCTTTAGCATCGCTTTGATTTATGACCTTTTCATTATGTTTTGTACAGCTGCTAACACTTATTTATATGCATTACTACCAGTCGTCACCTACACAAGTGAATGCAACTACGAGTAAAATCTGATTTCCATTATCGCTTTCATCATTCTCACCTCGCCTTTCATACACACTTCTGCATCATTCACAATTTGTTGACGTGACATTAAAATGTGTGCTGTTATAGCTGCGAGTATTTATTTGCGCAAAGCCATTGAAAACGATGTTAAGAAATTGCATTTACTCGACTAAAAGGTGAAATCCTATAAGTACTTAGATAGATGGTGGCAAGTAGTAACTTCTCAGTTTTCAGTTTCCAGTTTTCGCTCTTGGCATGTGAACTATCATTGTCAGCGCGTCTGCTTTGAATTTCTAAACTAGTAGAACGTGGCGTAAATGTGCAGGAATTTACTTAGAATGCGTGAGAAAATACATTTCAACTTGCAGTATTTACTTGTACATGCACGTGGCTGATGCTTATAAAATGGATTTTTTTTTGTTATAAGAGTATGAAACTAGTTACACAGAAATTTGCTCATATTTAACGGTAGAAGATTCGTTTATGGCATACAAAAATGTATTAATATTGTATTCACAGTAACGAAGTAATTGATGGAAATGCCCAATTTGCGCATCTAAGTTCCAATTAGGAATTCGCATATTTCCATCTTCTATACTTTGAACTGTTTGACAGCTTGAGATAAAGTGCTGTTATAGTTCCACCTCAAAGCCCTCTAAGTAGTTGCGAATGCCAGGGTGGAATGCGATCTTAGTACCATCCCGTTCGCTCCGCCATGCAATATTATTACGGCCCATTTAAGAGAAAATCAGACGCAACTGAAAAAGGTGAGGCATAAGTCTACTAGTTATCACGGCGACACCGTGAGCATGACCTAACCCTTTATTGCAGTCAGAGTATATCGACTGCTCAGTGGTAGATCGACCTTTCTCGGCAGACGGTTCGAAAACGCCCTATCTCAGAAAGTGGCTCAAGAATGACCTACTTCAGAATTTTGTTAAAGAACGCCATATCTGAATGTAAATTCAATACAACGGCAGCTGCAATAGGGCGTTTTTGGAACCATCTGTTAGGGTGTTACTAAAGCTTCTACATATTTTGAATTTCTAAGTGTTATGTTTTCTTAAGCGGTCGCAATGAAAGACTTCAAAGTGTACGTTAGCCATGAAAAAGTTTGAATTTCAAATGAAAAATATGAAACCTCACTTTTCTATAAAATGAAAATAGTTACATCTAGATATTTATTTTATAACGACACTTTTTACTTGTTGGTGGTTTTTGATCTTTTGTCTAGATTTATCTGGCCTGCCAAACTGATTTTGTATTGATTGCAGAGAATGCTTTTCTTCTTACTCCACACTACTTAAAAATCTCACATCATCATTTACCTACTCCTTTGCACAAATTGGCGTTAATTTCTTATTTTAAACTCATCACCATATAATAAATATGCCGCGTCAAAAGTATGGCGCATTTTCTTCCACCTCATCACACCTTAAGCAAAGTGGTTTGGTTAAGATATTAGATTGTGCATATACATACGTATGCACAACGGTTCTATGTTATCCATGAAAGTAAAACTCTAAACACATAGCACATTTATGTACATATGTATACATGTCACCGATGTTTATTTGTATGTATGTATGTGTTTCATTATGCTGTCGTATTCAGAGCACAAAAGTTTCCACGAAACAGTAAATGTTTTGTCAACATCTGTCAGCGCCGCCCACCTCTCAACTCACATAATCCCAACGCACACGTTCGCGCTGTTCCAGCTTCTTGAATACAAACATATACATATACACACTATATTATTCCAGCGATGATGGCTTCTAGCGGTAATTAAAGCTGACACACTTGCACTACATCTTTACTTATCTAATCAGTGCGTGTCTACTTCATGACATTTTTCACATCCTACCAGCGCACAGTGGTACAAAATTGGCAGTTTGTGTTCACAATTCACTGGGGCCTTAATTTTTCATTAAGCTAATAAAATTCGCAAAAGACCAGTTGAGCCCGATTTTTGAATTTTCTTTTCTTATAATTTTTTTTTTGTGCAAAGTGCAGAAATAGTACCAATTTTGAAGATAATCGATTTTCCTGTTCCAGTTAATAAATGTTGCTTAAAAAAAACTAGTTGAAAACAATTTTAAAGTTATCCCAAAACGAAAAAAATAAAAAAATTTAATGTTATAAAAAAAATTTAAACTAAATAAATTTTTTATTTTTTTTTTGTTTTTTGTAAAAATTTTGGGTATACAGTTTTATAGATCATTAAATTTTGGTATAATTTGGTGAATAATCAAATTAAGTGAAAAATGAAGGCTCCAGTGAATTGTGCACACTAAATGCCAGTTTTGAGCCACTGTGCAGCGTCTGTCTGCCTGCCCGACAACCTAGCTGACTGCGTGGTTGCTTGCTTGGCTGTCAGCCTAACTGCCATATGTTGTTTAGCTAATTGCTCATTTGGGTTAAAGTGTCGTCAACCGTATTATTTGCATATCCTGTAGTGAATATACCAACAGATGTACATACATATATACAATGTTTTCATTGTACTTAAATCGTTTGCTTACCAAATGAAATTTCTGTGTTGAAGGGAAGTTTGTTTGCATCGTTTAACTGATGCAGTGATTGTAATTTGTATGTATATATATTTATTTGGAATTAAATAGATACATTTACTTTTTGTGTTATAATAAATATACATATATACAGCGCTCTTCTCGGTGCTTTAGGAGTTCAATAATCTTTATAAATGCGATATGTTGGCGAACCTCGCTTAGATTAGAATCCTGGGAGTAAAAAGTACTCTGTGACGTAACCTTTCTCTTATCACAAATCCGGCACCGTGTGTGGGCTCCTTTATTTGACAGCTGTAGTGACTTCATTTAATTTTCAGAAACTTTTTAATTAAATTTTTTTAAAGCTACTTTTTAGACTTTATGTTTTTAAAATGAAAAATATTTTTTTTTTGTAATTTCATTTAATTCCTTGGAACTTATTTAATTTCTTTTAATTAATTTTTTTCTTTTTTAATTTAATTTTCTTTAAATTTCTATATTTTACTGGTTAAAAAGAAAAATATGTTTTTATTTCATTTAGATAATATTTGGAAACTTAGTTTAGTTTTTACCTTTTCTAATTTTCTTTTTTAATGCATTTTTTGATTGCTTTAAAAAGAAAATATTAATTTTTAGATTTTGTAGTTTTAAAATTAAAAACATTTTTTTTTACAAATATTTTTTTTCTCTTTTATTTTAATTTGCTTTTAATTTTTGGATCTTAGTCTTTTAAAAAGAAAAAATATTTTTTATTTAATTTTATATTTAAAAACCTGATTTATTTAATTTCTATTTAATTTTTTATTTAGGTTGCTTTTATTTTTAGATTTTATTCTTTAAGCAATTTGTTTTAATTCATTTAATTGTTAGAAATTTAATATATTTAATATATTTATTTTTTCTTTTTTAATTTTTTTTTTTAATTTAGATTGTTTTCATTTTTAGTTTTTATAATTTTAAAAAGAAAAATTAATTTAACTTAATTTTTGGAAACCTGATTTATTTATTTTTTTGTATGTAATTTTTTTAAAAAGAAAATATATTTTGAAATTTAATTGAGTTTTTATAAAGCTTATTGTTAATAGGAAACAGAATAACCCTAAAACCTCCTCGTTAGCAGATCTTTCAATTAGCCCTTCGAAAGACGGAAAAGAGTTTTAAATGTCATTTATTTTTATTAGCAATTTTTTTCACACAAATAAAATGTTGCTTGGTGGAGGATAAATTAATGATTCGAATATGAAATTTATTTCCCATTCCCCCTTTTCTTTCTTTGCAAACGTGGCACACGCACACCAGTATCTCACGGCCTCATTGGACATCCCGGCATCCCACTTGCCGCACCAGCCTTGGCGCATTATCCAGCACCGCTGGCTGTTAAGTAAGTAAAAAAATAAAATTAAACAAAATTGAAAAATGGTGTAACGGGTAAATACGAGCAGGGTGAAGGGAGAAAAGTTTGTAATCGAGGCTGTTGTAAATTAAATACTGCGTATTATTTGAGTTCTGCTACTTACAGCGCTTCCATTAAATATTAATATTTTCCTTTCAAACTAAATTTGTGTTTTTTATTTTGAATTTTATTTTCGCTTCTCTTTTGTAGGGCCGTTGCCGCCCCCGCTTTAGTGCATACCTCCGTCGCTGGACACGGTGTGCATTACGGCTACTAAGGCGTCAAAAACAAAAACATACATAGCGAAGAGAGTACAAGAGAGAGAAAAGGAGTTGGTGAGAGAGAGCGCGAGAGGGAGAGAGAAAGGGGGAAATTATGAAGCGAAGTAGGCGCACGAACGGCACAGCGCTGGATGTAGGCGTAGGGCGGTATGCTCGTTGCTTAGTGGTCGCTGTAAACGTCGACGTCAACGCCAACGCCGTAAAATTTTTAATAAAAATGAAAAATGAAACAAAAGTAACAAAGATTAATAAGGAAAGAAGAAGAAAAACAACAGCAAATAAATTCACTTATAACTATGTAGGATAACAGCAGGAAAGGAAAAAAACAATTACAACAAGAACAAACATAACAGCAATGTATAATGTGCAACAACAACAGCAACAACAACAACGACGCAAACGACAATACAACTATGAATAACAATTAAAATAATAACAGCAAACAAAAAAAGCAAGCATTTAAGCACAAAAGCAACAAAAAAAAAGCTTATAAAAATAGCGGAGTTCGAAGCGGAGGCATTGCAGTAAACGAAGGACGGTGTCTGCTGCCGGGTGATGAGTGGGGAGCTGAAAAAATTGCTGCATAATTTGCGCATAACTTACTTGATTTTCCGCGCGTTAAACGAGTAGTTAACAACGTACAACAGCAACAACAAGCATAGCAGGCAGGTGTCGATGTTGCCACATGACAACCACAAAAAACAATCCACTGCACTTAAACTTGTTGTGTGCCGCCTGTGTGTGTGTCCCACCCGCATACATACATACCTTCAAGTATGACAACTCTGCAAGCTGTAGCGCCTAAAAATATGCCAAACAATGAAACTGAAGCTGAAAATCGCTATAGCCAACAGCGCAACCGCAATCGCACCAGCACTTCACCTACATTTCGAATTCATTTGCAGTTTTCAATTCTCGAGCAGTTGAAATTCGATTTTCAATTCGTTTGCCTCTTCCGCTACGATTTTATTTTTTTTTAATGTTTCTGGTGTTTATTTTTATTTTTTGTTTATTTGTGCTATGAAATTTTCCGCACTTCTCAATCGCTTGACATCGTTTCGGGATATGCAAATATGTACAAATAAATATTCAAATGTATGTATGTATGTATAAACGGATGTGTTTCCACAACAGTCACCCCAAATAAATCGTTTCACTGCATTGTTATTCTCTCAATTTATGTTGTTTTATCGCGGTTAAATTTTATTTTTAAATATTTTTTTTTATTTTAATTTTATTTTGTAAAATAATATTTGTCACTTTCCCTACGCAAACACGCATTCATCTTTGTTTTCCATTCTCATGTATGTAATGTACTTTTTGCTTGTGCAAATTTTAACGAAATTGTCGAATAAAGATAATGCTACTGCTATGGAGAAGGTCAAGGTTGTGTTGGTTTTATTTTTACAGTTTTTTGTTTTTGGTTGAAATATAAATATTTTTGTGGTTTCTGGGTGGTTGCCATGACTTAAAGGAAGCTGTACATATGTATATGATTTTAGCTTGAATTACATTCATATTCCATAAACTTTGTATGCCTCTCTCGTTGGCCTTGTTTAGCTTTACAAGTTCAGTGATTCGCATTAGAAGCTAACAATATCGGCCTGCAAATTTGGTAAGAAGAAAGGTGTTTTTTAATATTTTGTATGACTTTTATTTATTTAGACTGAATCCATATTTGACGTGCTGATGGATCGTCGTATTTCTTTCCCTTCGGGATCGTTTCGAACAAAAACTTTTGATGTGGTTAAAATAAATTTTGACACAAAACCAGGGACCGAGCATAACAGTTATTGATGAAAATTGTCATTGAAAAATTTACTATGCAGGAAATGTTCTACAACTGAGTGATACATACCAATCGATTTCTTCTTTCAGCGAGAATCACATTTAAAAAAATTTATTTGTGATTTTTATGCAAAATTAAAAAACAAGCATAACAATTATTTTTGATTTTTATCTACATAATCTTCTAATAAC